AAGGATGTTGGATGTGCTGGTACCTTGATTACAACTCATGAACCAAAATATATGATTATTAAACATATTTGGTCTAGAGTCCAGGATACCTTAGTTTTTAAACCTGTTATTTTTTAACCCCAGAATTCCATCCAGGAGAGTATATTATATTTAGTAGTCATAATCTCCTAGAGTTTCTCCAATTTTCCTTGCTTTTAATGACCTTGAAGTTTTGAGGCATGCTGGTCAGGTATTTTGTGGGACCTAGTAGTTTTCTAACCTAACCACGAAGTGTAATCTCATCACTTCTGACCATAATCTACTTGTTAGAAGCTACTGCAAAATCTAGCCCACTTCAGGGAAGGAGGATTGATCTGTATCTGTTGAAGACAGGAGTATCAAAGAATTTGTGGGAGAGTCCTTAAGCCTCACCTACAAGGTGATGGTTTCAGTAATACAGTGATAGAATCCAAAAATTTGCATTTTTAACAAGCTTCCAGGTGCTGTTGCTGTGAATGGGATAGAGATTTCATTAAGAACCACGGAGAGCTTGTGTAAGACCTTATTGTGCACAACAAGCTGGAAAAACTTTGAGATGATTCAAACTTAAGAGATCTAACCACCACTGAAATCAACTGGTTTAGTTTCTAGATTAACTGTTATCATGTACAAAAGTGTCTTATATTTGTATTAGATGTGATTTGTTTTATTTAATTGTCACAAATACTAGGGAGAGAATACATACATCTCCACCTGACTTTAAAATAACCGAGAGACAGAAAGGCTAGGAGACCAGTCTTAGGTCACACAGCATGCTTATGATAGGGTCAAGTTAAGGGCTGAGTCACTGAGCCATGAACCAGCACCAGTTTCCATCATACAGGCTTCTTTCACATTTTTCCAATTTTCAGGACTCGGACACTCTTTACAGAGGAGACAGGAAAGGGAGACTGGAAAACTACAAGTCTGGTTTCTGAAGGGCAGTTTAAATACGCTGTGGGAGTGGTCTTGAGCGTCTCTGGGGAAGGGGGTCATCATTTGGCAGATTTTCTGAGATGCAGCAGGGTTTACAGGGATGGGGGCTTGGGTAGAACTTCCACCACAACACTAATAATCAGATTAAGAAGGAAGGTTTTTTTAAATCTTTTTTTGTAGCTGATGTTTACACGTTATCAAAAATTAAGCCAATGTTTGGTGGTAATGGTTAAAGCCAGCAGTATTTCATATAGCCACTAGGAAATACAGATTTTATATGCTGAGCCATGAATTCAAGTTCACTATCATGCAAAGAAAATCCAGCAGTGTAAACATAGCAGATACCTGCCCCCAAATAGTGGTGAAACTGTGTCAGGGTTCTATGGTGGTGAGAAATTGTGAAAGAATCATTAGTATCTCTAATTTGAACCTTTCCAATGGATGTGTATGTGGGGGTGGGACGGGGCAATGAAATATGATTAATCCCATCAAACCGTTTTGGGGTGAGAGGATTTAGGAAACATGGACATCAAGTGTTAATGACCTTTATTTGTAATGGATTCCTCCAATGGTAGTAGTAGGGAGAGTGGCATGAATAGAGTTAGTGACCTAAGAATCTTGCTCAGTTATTGGCTTAAAGTGGTAATTAGACGTATAGGGCAGGGAACTGCAGCCAGTGACGTAACAATCCTTGTTTTCGTAACAATGGGTCCAAATGTATTCACTAGTGTGAAGGTGGGCAGACAGGGACCAGAGGTCCTGACCAGTAGCTGGGGGTGGGGAGACTGGGGAGCAGGGAGCAAAGAGTTACTTCCATTTAATTCTGTGCTAAGGTACCAGTATTGTTGGAGGGAATGAAACAAACCATGTAGTTAAGAGGAAAAGAATTTGAAAAAGCATTGGACTGCAAGGAACAACTTAAAGCCGAGCAGTCAGCTGATCCGAGGAGGGCCTTCCCAGAGAGGGGCCTGGGGTTCGAAAGGTCTAGGGCTGCGCTAAATATCGTGTTTCAGGGCGTGGGCTCCCGGCGTCCTCCAGGTCTCCAAGTACCTTTTGGTCTTGGAAGACCAGATCCGGGGAGGGAAAGACAACAGGCAGGTTTGCGGAGAACAGGGTAAGACCCACGAGCGAGGGCGGGAGGTTTGGGCGTGTTACCGGGGCTTTAAGAAAGCTTTGGCGGCGGCGGCAGCCAATCAGCGGCGTGCGCGTGCCCCTCGCGCCCCTCACAGCCCACGAGCGCCGCGTACGTGCGGCGGCAGGCCCCGCCTCTTCTGGGCGGAGCTCAAGAACCCGCGGGCAGCGGGCCACGGCCGCCTTACTGCCTCTGGTGCTTGTTTAGGTGCTGAGGCGGCGACTGCGCTGGTGGCGCCAAGGCCGAGCCCCAGGTGGAGGTGAACCTCCGCCGGCGCTGCCTCCCTGCAGCAGTCTGGGACGTCTCGGCGGTTCTGCGCATTGCCGGGGTGAGGATGCGGCTCTTCTTTCGGCTGCTCAAGCAGCCGGTCCCCAAACACATCGAGCGCTACTCCCGCTTCTCTCCATCGCCGCTGTCAATCAAACAGTTCCTGGACTTCGGTGAGTGTGACGCCTTGGGGCCAGCTGCCCCCAAGGCCCGAGGGAGTGAGGGAGTCACCATTCCCCCCCCTCCAGTCCCGCCTGCTGGGCTCTTCAGCCTCAATGCAAAGTCCATGGGAACCGCCTGGTGGGTGATGGGGATTCAAGCTTGGGATGCTCCTGGAGCTGAGGTTTCGGGTTTCAGGAGGTGGAGGGCAGGGCCTGACACCCATACACCCAGCTTCCTCCAGGGACTCTCATCCCAGTTGAAACTCCTCAGCCGTCCAACCTTTCGTTAGATCTAACTTGACTCAAACCGCCCTGTCCTGAAAACTTCGAAAGATCTCTTAAACGTTTTTTATTTTTAGAGTTTTTAATGGTTGGGTAAGACGTGTTTAGAAACACCTTGAGGTTGAGTAAATCCTGCAGTGGCATTTTGTTCCTTTTCTGCTGTGAGGTGTTGGGTTGCCTGGAGTGGCAGGACTTAGAACAGTCTCAGTCGTGGCCTGCAAATGCCTTAGATGTTGGGCAAGAGCTGACCTGTGGGCTCCTGGCCACAGAGCAGGGGTTCTAGGACAGCTCCAGCCTAAGGGTGAGCACCTTTGCTTGGTGTCCCTGGCACTCTGTTGGCAGCTGAGCTAGTACTTGGTTTACATGGGTTGGGGTGAGAAGGGAGAGGACCCAAATAAAGTCTGAGGCCTAACTTAGATGGGAATAGATTCCACCACCTTCCATTAACTAATCAATCCTGTTTCCCCAGAGGATGCCATTCCAACACCAGCAGGCTGAATGCGGTTGTGAAACACCTGAAAATAAAACAAAAATGGAACTCAGCATTGCCGAAGGAAAATCAAGGTGACTTAGGCTCTCAAAGCCAAGCTCTGTTTAAATCTTTTGACTTAAAAATGTCATGGGATGGTGTCAGTTGTGTATAAAAAGTGAAAAATTGGTAGAACCTTCTGGGAAGACCAGCTATACAGAATGTGATGTTGTCTATAATTGGGGGAAACATACAGGATAGAAAGAGAGGTTTAGGTTAAACATTTAAGGCGATGCCAAATTACATTTTAGAAATCAAGCTGCCAAAGTTAGATGATGGTCTAAGATGAGGCAGAAGTTGGTCTTTAAATCCTAAGTTTCATTTTCAAAAGCTTTTCAGTAGTTGAACCCTACTCTCTCTGCCTCTTTCTTGCTACTTGTAAATTTTATTCTTAAACATTTATTTGTGTATATATTTGGGTTTGTGTGGTTACACGTGTCATGGTGTGGCTGTAGAGGTCAGAGGACAACTTGGAGTTAGTTCTCTCCTACTGTGTGGGTCCCAGAGATCAAACTCTGGTGGTCAGGCTTGGCAGAAAATGCCTTTACTCGCTGCACTTTCTAGCCCCACCCTGCTTGTAAAGTTTTAGAGGTTTGAGGCAGGTCCTGACTTAACAGCTTAGAATGAAAATGTTGCTATTGTTATAAGTAGGTATGTTATTCTAACTTAGGGTATAGAGATTATTGTGAACATAGGAAACCTTTGTTAGGGTAAATTGAGACAAATTCTCAGTAAAAAGAACACAAGGAATCTTGGTCACTCCCACATTCAGTGTTTGTGATAGTTGGTATAGTGTGCCTGAAATTGCAGTTAATTTACTTCTCTGGCAACTAGTATCTCCCATGTTAATAGGCATCTTGGCAAGGATGTTATTTGAGTAGGAAAGTTACAGTAGGGAATAGTGTTGTGGTGGATAATTTATAGGGGGAGTATCTAGAAATAAATGTTCACCATTTTAAAAGCATTGAGGTCAGTGGTTTGGGGCCAGGGCCTCATGCTCTGAATTTCTGGTGTTAGTTGTGTACGGGTGGGATGGAGGGCACTGGTATTTTTAGAAGACCCCAGGGTCATTGTAAAGTATCATCTGGGTTAAAAACTTAACCGAGTTGCACTTCTGACTGATCTGCTGTCCCCCTTTCATCTGTGTGGAGTATTTGTTTAAACTTTTTAAAGTAAGAATTTCTTGACTTATATCTTTACTGGAAATTCAATCTGCAAGAATAACAAGTATTCTAAATGGAGTATCGTTTCCAAGTGCAGGATTTTAAAAAACCAGACAACAGATATCATTATATGTTCTTTTTCAGCTCACAGTGACAGTTACATGGTTCCAGATTTAAAAAATGCAAAAGGACCAAGGCAGAAAAGGCTTTAAAAAAAACTTCTGTTAACTAGTCTTGCAATCTTTGTATAAGTTGCAGCTTATACTTTAATTTGTATTGCTTTTTAAACTTAATACAAAAGAACTTACCTTATATGTACATGTAAACTTTCTTTTCCTTTCTGTGACTTTTGAGAATTCACATGGGCATAGTATAATTAGACAACTCACAGTTGATGGCTTGTGGGATGTTTCTAGTGTTTGCTATGACAAGAACTACAGTGAATTGTGTTCATTGTAATTTCACGCATGTCTGAGTAGAGATAGAAGACAAATTCCTAAAGGTGACCTTGCTACATCAGGAAGGATGCACATTTGCAGTTTTTGATAATTGTGAGCAAATTCCTTTTCATAGGAGATGTCTACCTACTGGAAGTTTCTGAGACAGAGTGCCTGTTTTCCTGTACAGGTTTTGCTACATGGTTGTCACACTTAATAGGTGAGAATCATGTTTACATAGAAACTTTTTCTTGGCTTTTCATTATGGAAGATTGTAAAAATAAAAGTAGAAGGGATAGTTTGATGAACTCTTGGGTCATTTATATTTGTATATGTTTGCATATGCAGGCTGTTAGGTTTACTTTACTTATCAAAGTTAGGTTTGTTTCAGAAAGACAATTTTTACTTTTTATCCAGTAACACTATTCTTTTGAGTTAACTTTCTTTCAAGATTTGGTATATTCCTATTAAACCTTCCATGGGAATCTATGGTATTGGTCTCTGTATATAACACATTCTTATTGCCTTCTCCCATCCCTATCAACCCCCACACCACAGTCCCTTTCCTAGATTCATGACTTTTGGTTTGCTTTTATGTTCCATTTAATTGAACCAGAGCTGTCTGTGTGACCATTGAATTGGAGCTTAGTAGTACCTTATTTATTTATTGAGACAGAGTCTGGAAACCTCTGTGTAGACAAGGCTGACTTAAACTCAGGTTTGCCTGCCTTTGCCTTTTAAGTGCTAGGACTAAAGATATGTGCCACCATGCCCAGACTATTTGTTTGTTTGTTTGTTTATTTATTTATTTATTTTGGACACAGTCTCACTTTGTACTCCAGGCGAGTCTTGAACTCACAGTCCTCCTCCGTGGTCTTCTGAGTGCTGGGATTGCAGGTGACGATTACATGCAGCTTTGATAGTAGTGTCTTAATGGTTTTCCTTTATTTCTTGATTTTCATTTTTATTCTCCACCCTTCCCCAAACCTTTATTTTAGATAGAATTTTATTTTGCTAGAACTCACCATGTAGGTCAAACTGGCCTTGGATGCTTAGTGATTCCTTTGTTTCCAGTTTTTGAGTGCTGAAATTACTGGCATGAGGTACCATGTCTTGCTTCCACCCTCTTCTGGTTTATTTGGTTAAATTTATTTAATAGTTTCATGGCTTTGATCTTCCAGTTCATGCTTACCTAGCCTTTAATATGTCTCTGACATCCTTGTATCAGTTTGTACTTTTTCTTTTCTTTTTTAAAACAAGTAGAGTCCTAGTTTCTTTTTGTCATTGCCTTTTGTTTCAGGTTTTTTCTATTTTTAATTCTATTTTAATTTTATGTAGATGTTTTACCTGCATGTATGCTTGTTCACCCCTTGCTTGCCTGGTGAACACAGAGGCCAGAAAGGGAATTCAGATCACTTGGAATGGCAGTTACAGACTGTTGTGAACCACTATGTAGGTGCTGGGAATTGAACCTAGGTCCTCTGGAAGAGCAGCCAATGCTCTTAACTGCTGAGCAATTTCTCCAGCCACTTTATTTCAGTTCTTAAAGCTTAAGGCTGGCTAATCAGTGCTTTAGCTGCTGATATGTGTATTTGAACCTTACCCCCATCTTTTCTGTATCCTGGAAGATGTTTATTCTTTTATTAATGAAGGTTAGCTTGAGAGTGTTGAAACTTCCATTGTAGGTTTATTCTGTATATTAATTGTTTTCAGTTTGTTGAATGATTATAGAATGTTTTCTAGGTTCTCTGACTTTCTGATGTTTGCACTGTGTGTGGTCATTTCTTGTGAGTGTTCCTTGAGCAGCAGAAATAAGGCTGTTTTCTCTTCCCAGGTTACAGAATTTATATATATATATACCATATTGTTATTTAGGATTTTTATACATTGTTAAAAACTCACAGAAATTGTTGTTGATCAAATAAGAAAAGTTAAAGTCTTCAAATTTGATTCTATTTTCCCATATATGTCTTAGGTTTTTGTCATATGTTGTTAATGTGATCCTTAGTGCTTATTAACTGTCATGTCCTCATGGTAAATTTTTGCTTTTAGCATCTAGTTCAATGCTTTTTGGTCTGGATTCCAGCCTTATTTGATGTTGAGATCTAGTTCCCTATCTTCCTGTTTGCATTCTTATTTTGTTTTTCTGAATTATTTTGCTTTAAGTATTTCTCTAAAGTTGGTTTTTCTTTGTAATAACTTTTTATTTATATGGTAGTTTTATCAGGAATATACTTATTGGTACAAATCAATAGATCTGTCATACATAATGGTCGTATCTGTGATTTTTCCCTATTGTTTTTAATGCCTTTATTTTTCTCCCTGTCACATAATTTATTGTTTTATTTTACCATATTATTTTAACTAATACTTAGTTACTTAATTTCTGTAATTTTTAAAGATTATTTTATGTGTGTAAGTATTTTGCTTGCTTACAATGTGCTTGGTACCCTCAGAGGTCAAATGAGGGGTCAGATCCTCTGAAACTGGAGTTAAGGATGGTTGTGAACCACTGTGTGGGTGCTTGAAATAGAACCTGGGTCCTTTGCAAGAGCAACAAGTGCTCTTAACTGCCAAGCCATCCAGCCTCCACCTCATATCTTTAGACTAAATTTTCCTTTGTCCAATTATGGTCACTGCCTGCTAGCCACATGGACCTCTTGAGCAGTTGAAATGTGGCTAGAGTGGCTGAGAAACTTAATCGACCTAATTGCACTTTAACAGACTTGATTAAGTTCACTTTAAAATTGTGTTGTGTGGGAGTGTTTAGATGCATGTGTGTATATGGTGTGGAGGCCAAAGGACAACTTTAGCTCTCCTTCCTTAGGAATTAACAACTTTGTTCTTTGAGACAGGGTCTTTCACTTGCCTGCAATTCACCAGGTATGGCAGAGAGCCAGTAATCTGACTGTCTCTCTCCCTCCAGCATGAGAATTACAAGTGTAAGCCACCATGCCTGACTTTTTGTTGTTGCTTTTGTTTTCAAGACAGGGTTTCTCTGTACTGCCCTGCCTGTCCTGGAGCTAGCTCTGTAGACCAGGCTGGCCTCAAATTCACAGGGCCTGCCTCTGCCTCCCAAGTGCGAGATTAAAGGTGTGTGTTTCTGGGGATGGAACTCTGGTTCTCATAGTTGTGAGGTAAGTGTTTTACTGACTGGCTTATTGCAGCCCTCAGTTAATTTCAAGTATGTTTAAAATAATTTGGAAATAAGAATTTACCTTGACAAGTATAAACTTTATGGCATCTAGTTATATAGCTTCTAAATTGTGATATGCTATACATGTATGATACATAACAGATATCAAGTAATTAACATGAAACCAGTGAAATATCTCTTTTTTGAGGTGCTGGAGATTGAATCTGGAGCTTTGTGTATACTAGGCCAGTGCTCTACCACTGAGATATACTCTATAGCATTCATATTGATTATATATAAAAATACTTACACATGTCAGGATAAACAATATTAATAGTCTTAACTATTTTATACTAACATAGCTGTGAAGAAATTTCAAATTATATGTGTAGTTCATATTTCATTGGACAGTGTGACATCAAATAGGATGTTAATTTCTTAGTAAGAACACTGTAATACCATATTTTATGTACAAAAGAACATTTATTGGTTTTACTTCTTAATATAGCTGTTGGGGAAGGGAGTTTGAGACAGGGTTTCTCTGTGTAACACTTCTGGCTGTCCTGGAACTCATTTTTTACATCAGGCTGGCCTCGAACTCATAGAGATCCCCCTGCCCCTGTCTACCAATTGCTGGAATTAAAGGCATGTGCCACCACACCTGGCTTAATATAACTCTTACACGTTTTTATCCTATTTTCTTTTTTTGTAAAGTCTCTGTATTTTGGACTAATGTATTGTCTGAATGGCTGTTAATATTATGGTGGTTCTTAGACCATTTGTACAATCCTTCAGTTCTGTCCCTTAAGTATTGTTTCTTTGAGTCAAAATCCTCTTAGTGATTTTGCCTTATGCCTTTGTTGTCTTGTGATTTAAAAAAGGCCAATTTGGACTGTCATGCAGTAATTAAAGATACATTCTTCTGAATGCTGAGTGAGTTGGTAGGAAACAGTTTACATTTTCATTAGGACTTGTTTTTCATCTTTAGTCTCACTCTGTCTATTTCTGGTCCTCTCATTAGCCACTTTTGTACCCTCCCTGCACACTTCTGTTTATTTCTCAGTTACGTTTACGTAGCTTCACTTGTAATAAAGGTATTTTTGTTCCTTTTCCCTTTATCTTGTCTTAACTCCCCCCTTTCCAGAGTGTGGATGCTTTCTTCTGTGTAACTTCTCGGCTTCCTCAGCTCAGTTTCCTCTCTACACAGAAAGCATGGAAGCTCCGTAAATGACATGGAGGTCATTACACATTCCATCACTTGCCTATAATTTCTCCACATAAAAATACAGCATCTCCCAAATAAGACCACCAGAAAGCAGTTGTACAAACCTCCTCTAGCTTTTCATAGAACTGCATGCTTTGATATCTACCCTAAACACATCAGCTCTGCGAATCCTGCAGGGTTAGCTGCTGGAAGGCAGCAGCCAGTTCCCATGTTCTTGCTATTCTTGAGGTTTAAGGGCCCAGGTGCCTTCTGTTGGCTTTTGAAAGTATTTTAAGACTGTTACCCACTGGGACATTGACTTCGGTGACAAATTCCTACTCTCTGCCAAGTTTCAGGTTTTTAAGTCATCTTGCTCTTCGAAGTTTGATTACCAGTGGACAGAACAGTGATTTCACTCCTGGAAAAGCTGAAAGGTGTTAGTCAAAGATTGTGTTAGGAAATGGGGAAACAATTTCATCCTTTCTGAATGTGTTTATTCTGCTCCTTTACAAGTGCACAGCAGATCTTTTATGTAAGTACAAAAGGTCTGATGCTATGAGGGATTGCCAAGAATTAGACGAACTTGTTTAGAGACAGAAGACAACTATTTAGAATTAAAAGGGAAGGGAAGAAGATAGTTTAGGGTCTGGATATTGTACTTAGCTTGTTGCACGCTGGTCATTGTTTAAAGAACTAGCCTTTAGGCCTTTGTGATCTGATAAGGCTAGGTTTCCATAGGACCTAATTTATTAGGCTTTGGGACATCTTAAAGCATCTAAAATTGTTGTTCCGACTTTGCTCCTTTTACAGTACTTGAGTATATTTCATGTGCCCTATTAGTTTATTATTATCATTATCAAAGGTAACAAATTTTTTGTACCATTTTCATATATATCCTGTTGTACTGTTCTTCTTCCCACTACCTTAACCCTGCTAGCCTCTGTCCCTTCTCCATCTTTCATGTCACATGTGTTCTATCTATCACCCATCTTTTTCTCTCTCCTCCTCATGGTCCCCTTTATAGTTTCATGACTTACACACACCCCTAGCATCTGCATACAGGGAAAACATTATTTTTTCTTTCTCTTAATGTAATTTCCAGTTGTATCCATTTCCTACAAATATCATGATCTCACTTTTCTTTATGGCTGATTAAAATATAACCACTTTCACTTTTCTTTATATTATATGTGTATTAAATTATTTTGCTTTAGTGATAATTCTATCTCAGAGTTGGGTAAAAAAATTTGGAATACATTTGTCTAAGAATTTCTTTGATCAGAGCCTGTTTTTTTCTCATTGTTTTTTAGTTAGTAGAGTATCTTTAGAGTCACAGCAAAATTCTGCAAATACAGAAAGTCTAGAGAGTGCCCTTGTATCTCCCAAACACACATCCTTTGCTGCCTTCAAAGTCCTGTACCAGTATGGGGCCTTGAGGAGCTACCAATATCCATTGTTACAACTAATAAGCCATCATCATCACTAAGAGCCCATTGTTTACACTAGAAATTGTTGTTTGTGTTAACTCTGAGTCTTGCCCCCTTTTTCTAAATAAAGCTTTACTGGAGCATAGATATGCTCATTTATTACGTCTGTATCTTTGGTTTCCTTGACAACAACAGAGTTGAGTTGTTGCCTATGGCTGTGTGTATGGTTTACAAAGTCAAAAGTGCTTATTGTTTGGTTCTTTAAAACAGGTTTGACAGCGCCTGGTCTAAGGCAATTCAGCTTCCTCTTTAAAGAGTGGGCAACATTGCTCTTAAGCCGTGTTTAAGTGATAAAGCTGTTTGTCCTGTATCCTGCTAACACTCCTTATCTGGAATGTGACATTTTGGGTGGCCCAAACTTTTCTAGATAATCCTGTAGTTTACTTATGGAGTGTCTTATTACTGAATAGGATTTCCATATGAATGACTTGGAAAGATTTTATAGGTTTAATTTACAAAACTGTCAGTAAAATTTACGTGTACTTGTTTCTCTACAGGGTTGCCAAAATGAGGTTTTGTGATTTTAATTGTAATGCCTAACGTAGGAACTACAAGGTTTTTTTTTTTTGCCTGATTGGTCATATTACCTGCATTTTTGTTCTGCAGAAAGTGTTTCAACATTAAATAACTTGAATATGGGTTTTCCATCATTTGCATGAATGAATTCCTTATATGTTTTTGTGTTGGTAGTCAATAAAGAACATGATGACTAGCACAGCATCAAAAATATGCCAATGAGACTGGGGGTAGGCCACCTGTTATTCTCATGCTTTCCGTCTTTGTCATGTAAATTGACATTGAAACTAGCATTGAGCTATCTTTTTATATGCTTTTAGGGCTAATCTCCCTTTATATGTCTTTTCCTAGCAGAGCTGAGTTGGGCCATGTTAGGTATCCTTCCTTTCTCTTGTTTTTCCAAGATAGGGTTTCATTGTATAGCTCTGGCTGTCCTGGAACTCACTGAGATCTTCCTGCCCTTCTGAGTGCTGGGATTAAAGATGGGTGTGCCACCATGCCAGACTCCTTCTTATGTCTTAATGAGAACCTTGGTCTTGATCATTGGTTCATCTTTTCTCTAAGGTTGTACCTTGTGTCATAATGAATGGCATAAAATTGTAGTAAACAAATTATTTTACTCAGGTGAATATTGATATATTCTCTTTAATTGAACACTTTGGTGCTTTATTTCTGACAGCTATGATTTTACTTCCATTCAGTGTTAATCTGGGATTCTACCATAACATTTGCTTTACACCTGTGATGTCTTGTTTCTTATTTCTGCTTGGAGGTTAGTATACAATCGTCTTACTGTTTGGGAATAAATGATCACCTCTTTTACATTTACCCACACCATGAAGTTTGATATTGCCTCATGTGCTAGTCAGAAAACAATAGAGCCCTTTGAAATTTGTGGCATATCTATCTTTTTCCAACAACTGTTAAATATTTTGATGGATATGAGCATGTGTGAGCTCCTGTATGATTGTAGGCATCTCAGGCTTCTCTCTGAATTTTTCTTGGATATGCTCTAGGAATGGAGAAATGTGTGCTTTAGTTTGGTAGCAGGTATTTCTTGATAACCCTACTGGTTTTATACTGGTTGAGTTAATTTTTTCCTGATTCTGTCAGTTAAATAGAAAGAGAAGTGTCCATTGTTCTGTTGCTATTCCTCTACTTGTCAATAATGTACTCAAGGCGATAACTTTTTGGAGCAACCCCTACTTGGAGAAGGCTGCTTGCCACACACTGAATCCCTTATTCTCTAGAAATTGTCCTTTCTGGACACTACCCATCTTTGGCTAGTGCTATTTACCCACTGTAGCTGTCTCTGGCCAGTGTACTTAGTCTTCTTTCTGTTTGAAGTCTGAGCTTGGCTTCACTGAAACGTTCCAGTAGAAAATTAAAGTAGGCTTATATGATAACTGGAAAAGATTCAGTAGATGCCACCAACACGTGGTATAAAATGTGGTGCCATTTGAGTCTCACAAAAGCCAAGCCCACTTTACAAATTAGGAAACAATTTCTGAGCAGGTAGAATATCATGTGCAGTAGGGGTAGAACTGGGTTTCTGTTTGTCTAGTCATCCTACCTTTTCTTCATAGCTTAGAATGATGGTTCTGGATTGGGTATGAGTGAAAGTGGGGCAAAAACTTCAACAAGTGCATCGCCATCACTTGTCACACATTAAGAAAAGCAGCCATACTCATTGTAAAGTATGGCCGATTTTCTTAATGAAAATTTGTTCAGTTTTTATGCTTTCCATTTGGGGTCATCTAAAAGAGAAAGGGGAGAGAGGAGAGGCATGCAGACTAAAGATTTCTGTGGTCAGTTTTGTATGAAGCTGGAAAAATAAAACTCAAACATGAAGATAGACTAAAATGTATAGGTAGTTAGAATAATTTTGAATGCATAATAGTGGTTATTTGAGCCTGAGGAATTCATTTAGTTGTATATAATTAGATGCTAGTTTGTGGTTCATGGTTCTCAGTCATAGCTGGTCAAGAGGAATCAACTTGGGAGAGCCTTTAAACTGCTCTGTCTCTTTTGAGTAAAATGGGTGATTACAATGTGCTCCAGGAGTTTTTTTGCTCAAGCCCAGGGGTTTAAAAATTAACTTAAGGGGACAGAGCCCATGGGCGCTGAATGTTAACACTTAAGTTACTGTGGAGTCTTTTCAGCATAGTTGATGATTTGGGGTTTGGAATGAAACAAGAGTTGAAAAGCATTAGAAAATTGCTAAGGATAGTTATTTCCTTTGAGGGAGTCATATATAAACAAGAAGTTAGAACAAATACATATTTATGTAAAATTTGTGAATTGTGTGACTTTATAATATTTTTTCTGCTGTCCCTGCCTCTTTTTTAAAGGTTTTAAAATAAAGGTTCTCTTTTAGGAATGTACGAGGTATTCCTCCAATTGCCCTTTATTTAAAGTGTCATCAGACATGTTCTGGATGGAGAAGACACAGAAGAACACATATGGACGTGTGTACTTACACCTTCTCTCTTCGACTTTATTTTCTTTCCAGGGTTATCTAAGAATTTCCATTAGTAGTCAAACTGAGTGTATGCTATAATGGGAAACCATAGGGAAACAAACTTAAATCTTCCCTTTTTATATTCAGTGGAAACTTGAGCTTAAAGACCATCTATAGCAGTGGTTCCCATCCTTCCTAATGCTGCAACCCTGTAATACAGATCCTCATGTTGTGATGACCCCCTCCCAACCATAACATTATTTTCATTGCTACTTCATAACTTTAATTTTGCTACTGTTATGAATTGTAATGTAAATGTCTGTGTTTTCTGATAGTCTTAGGTGACCCCAATGAAAGGTTTGCTTGACCCCAAAGGAGGCGTGACCCACAGGTTGAGAAACACTAATCTATAGTCTCCCATGTGTTACACATGAGATTGTAGAAGTCCTGAGTAATGGAGGGATTGTCCCAATCCTCAGTCAGTTATTGACATAATATTTTGATGGCTTCTTTCAAACTATGAAATGTTTTTTTTCTTAGAAGGGCAAGTGAACTTACATTTCTGTACACTGTCAGACTAACTATAGTTAGTGACAGGGGTAGCTATGATTTTCAACATCATATGAAGTAGATACTCCCATTTCTTGTATGAAGCCTAGATGGTTTACATCTCTTAGCTAAGCAAACTTAGGGACAAACCCATGGATAAAATGAAGGAAATTGAGCTTTTAAACATCTGCTTATTGTTTCTTTTATGCTGGGTGGTAGTGGCACATGCCTTTAATCCCAACACTTTGGAGGCAGAGGCAGGCAGGTCTCTGAGTTTGAGGACAGCCTGGTCCACAGAGTGAGTTCCAAGACACAGAAACCTTGTCTTAAAAAAATAAAAACAAACCAAAAAAACAAAAACCTCTGCTTTTTTTCAGTTGAACATAATGTGCCATTTCTCCACATGTAATTCTTTATAGCAAACATTGTCTCCGTAAGTAATTTAGGTTTCTCTAAATTTGTTCTGATAAACAGTTAGAAAATGGAATAATTCTAGAAATTTCTTTATCATTTCAGAACTGTCAGGTTAGTGCCTCCTCCATTTTTTAAGTTGAAATAGTTCTTCTGATCCCACTTGTTAGTTTGTTGAATTGTCTCTGGTAATAGGAGAAATAGTATTTAGATTTACACCCAGGTCTTGATTTGGGGGAATCTGTCAACCATGTGGACTTGGGAGAACTGCTTAATCCTAACACACTTAATGCCCTTTTCTACAAAATAGAAATGATGGCATTTAATCATTAGGTTGCTCAAATGTGCCACACAAGGCCTGGTATATGGTAGGTACTCAGTAGATGTTGTTTATGGCTCTGTCATAAATTCATGGCACAACATTTTCTGTATGAAGCTGGCTTCTAGCTAAGAATGAAAGGTAGATAGGAAGCTCTTAACCGTGATTGTTATTTTATTTCAAGTTTGTGGGCTAAAGGTCTCTGCTGTGCTAACTGATCATTTGCCAAGGAACAGAGATACCACATTCAGGTTATTTGTGCTATCTATTATGGCTGACTTTGAACTCCTTTATTCACTGTAGTCATTCACTAAACGTTTTGCCTCAGTGAACCTCAGAAATGGGTATCATGTGGCCTTTACCTAAATATTTCTGCTTCCATGACAACAAGGCATCCTGTACTCACCAGTTTACCGTTAGGACTATAGATCTATAATCTTCCAGACTTAGATTGATGTGGGTGTATGGTGGCATTGGCTGCCTAGTGATAGTTACATGGCTCTAGCTCAGGGGTTCTCAACCTGTGGGTCACTACCCCTTTCGTGGGTGGGGGTGGGTCAAATGACCTTTTCACAGGGCTAACCTAAGAAGATCAGAACACACAGATATTTACACTACAATTTATAACACTAGCAAAAAAAGCTGTATAGAGCCAAGCAAACCATAGGGCTCTGAACATGAATAGTTATCTCCAACTCTCCAGGAAAGGACAGAATCTAAAAAACTAAGGTGGAGCTGAGTGGGAGAGTACATGCAGAACCCTAGCTTTAAATTTCCAGTACTGAAACCAGAAAGAAATGAGAAAATCAAAGGATCCTGAAACTAGGGGAAAGACAACCACTGTGAATGTATTAAAGCTTGTGACTTACATATGCTGGGTCAGAATTTCCCAAGCCTCATTGTTTCCTCTTTGTCATCTTCTAAATAGATATTGGGACAAATTTAACTGATGATATCAAATAAGAGGAAGCATGTAGAGAAATGTAGAAAAAAATAAAAATGACAATTAAGGAATGTAGAGAAGGCCATTAAGGGGGGAGGGATGAATGGTCAAAGATTTGGAAAGAACAGCTGGAAAAGACATGAAAAACAACCCCTTTGAGAGGACACTGATTAAAAACCATAGTTTTTGATACGTTTATCATAAAAATGGTTGCTAGGACCCCTTGATTTAAGCTAAGTATTCAACATCTAGGATAAAATACCTTTAATGTATATGAGGAAAGCCACAGAAAAGTTGTAAAAGTCAGGCATTTATTTTTAGGTTCACTAATTAGTGAACTAACTAAAAAGTTTTATGCTCCCATTTAAACTGCTCTATAATTAAGGTAGCTAAGTACAAAGAACGTGTTCTTGAAGCTACATTAGAGTATAGGAAGAAAAATTGGGATTTTTAAGCTATTCTGCATTAAGAACACAAACCTCTAAAAGCATTATAGCATCTTCCAAAACGTCACTGAGCACTATAGCAGGCAAGGTGCTGTGATTCTTGCTGTGTGGGACATCAAGACAAAATTTCTCTCCATGGGTTTGTAACAGTCTGATAATACAATTCCCATGAATCAAATACTTTCAGGAAACTAGTTCTCTTAGATTGTGTTCTGGATGGTGCAGATTTGACTGTTATAACATCCAGAACTTTCATTTTAAAATAGTAAATGGAACACTGAACACATGTTTATGCTTTTTAAAGTGATGTAGAGTTGTCAAATGAGCCTAGGATCACACTAGTCTAGAATCCAGTCATGCTCTGAGAACTGATGGTGCATATAGCAGACAATTTGATGTCACTGGCCATGGCTTTGAGCTGTTTTTCTTGATCATCACTAGGCATTAGTGATTGCTATTTAATGAACTCTACTTATAAGATTAAGGAATATATTGGTGTTCAGTGTTGAACATTAGCCTTCACTAAACCTCTGTGAAGAAGGTACTATTTTATGGATGGTTAAAATGAGATATAGAAGAGTAAAAAGTCTGAGTACTTAAGATGCAGACCCAAATCTAGCTCCAGTACCAGATTGTATTACTGCTGTTCTGTAGGGGGCCATACACTTTCATCTGAATCACAAGGTTCAAAACTTCTGAAAGTAGAATTTAAGTTTTGCCACTCATCTTATTCTTTGGCAGAATATGATTTGAGGTGACTTGAAATAATACTTTATTTTACTTGATGTAAATATTCATATATTTCACTGTAACTATATTATATCTGTATAGTGTTTCATATCACATAGGCATAGCATGTACTCTTTACTTTTTAAAAAAGATTTATTTATTATGAATACAGTGTTCTGCCTGCAGCATATATTCCTGCAGGTCAGAAGAGGGTACCAGATCTCATTACAGATGGCTGTGAGCTACCATGTAGTTGCTGGGAATTGAACTCAGGACCTCTGGAAGAGCAGCAAGTGCTCGTAACCTCAGAGCCATCTCTCCAGCCCCTACTCTTTACTTTTTAAAAAGTGGGGAAACTTTCAATTGTGGATCCATCTCGTCCCATGGCTTTTGGAGGAGAGACATGGACCTACTTGCTAGCTCTTGCATATCACAGACTTTTCTGTATCCTACGCCTGTGCTTCTAATCTCTTGCTCTTAAACAGCTGTAGACTGGGAAGATTTTTTTTGGTTTTACGAGACAGGGGTTCTCTGTATTGTTTTGGAGGCTGTCGGTCTAGCCTGGCCTCGAACTCACAGAGATCCGCCTGCCTCTGCCTCCCGAGTGCTGGGATTAAAGGCGTGCACCACCACCGCCCAGCTTAGACTGGGAAGTTTAAGCAGTAAATTTTTACTAGCTACCACCCCCTAAAATAAATCTCAGGTTTTTGAAGTTTTTAGTTCATACTGATACTCTCAGTTTCCTCATCAAGGGTATTTTACTTCTTCCCTGTTCCAGAACTTTCTTTTCCCTGTTAAGAAATTATTAATAATCTTTGTTAAAGGTGGTGTGGAGGTTTGAATGAGAATGGCCCTTGTTGGAAGTGGTGTGTCACTGGGGGCAGGCTTTGAAGTTTTAAAAGCCCATGCTATTCTCAGTGGCTCTCTCATTCTGCCTTGAGCTTGTGGATCCAGATGTGAGCTCTCAGCTATTGCCCCAAAGCCATGCCTGCCTGCCTACCTGCTGCCATATTCACTGCTATGATGGTCATGGACTCTAACCATTTTAAACCATAAGCACTGAATGAAATGCTGTTTTTTATAAGTTGCCTTGGTCATGATGTTTATTTTCACAGTAATAGAAAAGTAAGACAGGTAATAGGGAAAACTTTATTCCAGAGTAACCACTGCAGTGAGGTTTTATAGTAGAGGAGAGAGATTGGGCTCAGCTCCAAATGCACCACAGACAAGTGGAGATTTACAGCTCAGGAACAGTGTCTGCCTGTATGTATGTGTGGGCAGAGGGTCAGTGCTTGGGGAGATTCTTACTAGATCAACTAGACTCATTCTCAAAACTGCCTGGAATGTTTAGATACCTAAAATAGGGGGTGAGGAATTTGATCAATACCAAAGGAAACCAGACACCAAGGGCAGAGGACTTTTGCTAAAATGGCATAGCAAGGTTCTTGTTTCAGTTGTTCGAAGCAGGTCAGCATAGTGTAAAGTCTGGGCTGTTGAGAGAGAGGTTTCAGAAGAAGCTTGAGTGAAGGCTCGTCTTTGTCAGCCCACAGTGACATTTTCTGTGTGCTTTAACAAGTGCTGTTGACAGTGTATTTTACCAGATTCTAGACTATTATTTCTGGCCTGTGAAGACCCAGATTTATATTTTAACTTAGATAATACCTCAAAGGAGATTAAAATTAAATTATATAGATTAATAGGAATAATGTATATTTGAAGCAAAACTACCAGATTCACCTCTAGAAAGTAGTTGTTGGATGCTCATTTCTGGAGTATTACATGCCTTCCCTTCTCATTTTGGGTGGGTGTTTGGGGACTAACATATGCATCAGAGTGCTAAGGGGAAAGTGAAAGAATCATCCATTAAAGATTTACCTACCAAAGACCTTTAATATACTCTCTTAGAATGAAGAAAATAATGATTTAAGAGCAATCTTCATTCTAACTTGTTTAAATATGGAAACAGGATCCAGATTGGAGGAAGAAAAGATCCACAGATGACTTTCAAGAGTGGGTATTTTTGTTTCCAGCTTTATTTTGTAGAAAGGGAGAAACCAGAAGGCCAGTGAAAGCATTAGAAAATATTATGCATGAACCTCTCAGTTGCTGCCCTTTTTATATAGGGGAAAAATTAGGAGCGTTTGGAAGAGAAAAGCTTGGAGGGAAGCAGTGTTTCCCTTTCTCGGGCTTGGTCTTGGCTCATGCCAGAACAGCTTCCAGGGAGTGAGGAACATCAAGTGCCAGGGAGATGGGATAGGCTCTCAAGTGTCACAGGGTGGAGGACCAGGGTTACATGCTATTAATGTTGCTTTCACAAAGCCTGACCCCTGCCTTACAGATTAGGGCAGCTAAAGCTCAAAGGCATGGTAAAGCTTAGCCAATGTTTCACTACCCCAAGGTGGCTGACTTGGGACCAGAGGGTATTTCTGTCTCCAAAACTCATATCCTTTATTTCACACCTGTTCCCAGTCGTAAGTTTGTAACAGGGTTAGGGGTCTGCTCTGACCACACGACAGTTTGGAAAGGGCTCAGGTTCCCTCTTTTAGATGCCAGATGCCTCTTCTATCACCCTGCCTTGTTTATGTGAATGCACAACCAGCTCCAGAATATTCTCTGACCATGTGTTTCCTGTTACTTTTATCTTTATCTGATATCTGATCTATTTATATTAATGAAGTATCATATAATATTCAGTATGTATAATGTTAACATCGGGCTAAGCATATTTATCTCCTTTAACATTGGATCCTTTCTCCTGACAAACTTTCAATATCCTTCCAGTTTTTTGAAAGGTATGGTGCACAAGTGTTAGCCATATTGTACAGCATTATACCAGAACTTATTTCTTCTAACTTCAGCTTAGTAACTATTGATAAAATCTCACTCCATCCCTGTTGTCCCCAACCTCTAGAAGCCATCATTGTAGTCTCAATTTCTGCTATTCCACATGGGAGTGAGTTCACATGCTACTTCACTGAACTTCTGTATATGTTTTTCCTTCTTGGACTTTTCATAGTGGATCATTCACCTGGGAGTACATTGTAAGCTATTTCTTTGAGGCATAGTAGTCCCGTGCCTTAGAGTCCTTTGTGTGGAATCACAGAAATTCTGCTTCCAGGGTGGCAGAGCAGTGTGTTTCCTAAAGAAACATTGGAAGAATATTTACAGAATGAATGAATCATGTTGCCTCCCAGAAAACCACTATGAGCAGGAGCAGATTTACATGTTGTACTCTTTCTGTACTTGGAAATTTTTACACAGTGTTTATTTGAAAACAAACTCATTATATCCCAGGTCACTTTTATATTGTGGCCAGTTAACACTAGGTACATATTTGTATTAAGAAAAAAATGGCTTTCAAAGTTGCCTCTTGGAATAAATGTCTTTTTTTATCTTCTAATTAAATGGTTTTCTTAAACTTGCTGTTTCAGAGAATAAAAATTTATCTAGAAATTGTTACATTACTTAATTTTATTTTCCTGACCAGTAGTAATTCTGTTAACACAAGAACATTTTATGTTTCTCTGGGTTAATCTTATAGAACTTTTTCATCTCTTAATAGGAAGAGATAATGCATGTGGAAAAACTTCATATATGTTTCTGCGCAAGGAGCTTCCTGTACTACTGGCTAACACAATGAGAGAAGTTAATCTTTTGCCAGATAACTTGTTCAGAGTTGGTAAGTAAATGTTGTGATCACCCAACAATGCTTGGAGCATTTTGGCATTGGAACCGTTTTCCACACAAGTGTAGATACTGCCTTTCTGAGAATGAGTCATCCAGGATAGCTGAGTTTTCCTTGCATTTAAAAGATTTCTTTTAACTATTCATTTTAAAACTGGCCAGTTGGTGGTGCACACATATAATCCCAGCACTTGGGAAGCAGAGGCAGGCTGGATCTCTGTGAGTGTGAGGCCAGTCTGGTCTACTAAAACAAGTTCCAGGACAGCCAGAGCTGTTACACAGAGAAACCCTGTTTCAAAAAAAAGGTTTCATTTTAAAACTGTTTAATGAAAATATCTTAAACCATAAGATATTGTCTTAACTTTTTGGTTTTTTCTCTTGTTATAGATATGGTTGCTTCATTGGAAAAAAATTAGGAAATAATATAAAGGAATGTCATTGCAGTGGCCAGGTATCAGTGGATCCACTTTCATCAAAAAAAATTGAGGCAGTGTTTCATGTATCTCAGACTGGCCTTGAATTCAGTTTGTAGCCTAGGTGACCTTGCATTTGAGATTCTCTTGCCTCCTGAGTGTTAGAATCCCATGCCATGTCTAGTTACTGGGGATTGAAGCACAGCTTTGGCAGTATAGAGTGCTAGGAAAGCACTCCATCAATTGAGCTACATGCCTAGCCCATTTGCTCTCCTTTGGATAGGGAGAAATTGCCTCTTTTGTATCTTCCATGAAGGAAATGTTTGAATAGTCAAATCATTTACAGGGGAACCTCGTATGGGAAAATATCAGTTCCATGCTATGCTGTTGCATCTGCCCTATGAAAGATCTTATAGGTCTGATCGTAAAGCACGTGTTCTCTAGCAGAGGGCGTGGAGTTTGTGTTGACTTTCCTCCCTGAGTGAGATCACTGAGCGGGCGGCTGTAAGAAAAGGTGGTGTGGTTTTCGGCAGGGCTTGCATGTTTGGTCTACTCTGCTATGAAAGCATGGTGAAAGTGTCTGGAGAAAGCTGGAGGACTGTAGGGACCATGTGGCATACACGCTGCTAATCGGGAGCAGGGGCAGGAAATGCTGGCTGTGGTCTTGTACTGTTCCTTGATGGGTGTCCTTGATGGTACAGAGAAGCAGGAAAACATCATAAGAAAACCCCAGGAACTGGGAAACTAGCTTGAATTCAGAGAGTGTGGTGGCCTGGCTACTGATATAGAATGGACATACAATGGCCATTTGTCAAAAATAGGAAGTTCTTCTGGGCACTATTTTATGCTATGGCCTTGCATGCTCTAGGGATTGACCTAACTTAGTGACTGGGAATGCAGAAATGATAGACACACATACAGAAAAGCTGGAATCAAGTAAGCTGTGCATTCTGGTAGAGTTGCATCACTATCATCCCTGAATCAAGAGCTGTATTTATTGTTTACAGGAGTTTAGCTCCAAGTTTAGCTGTTCTAGGTAGGAGATCTCTGTAGGGGAACAGTCTTAGGGTGTAAATATCTGGGATGAAGAAACTTCAGTGGGGATTTTCTGTATACACTGTAAACATCCACACATGGAGCAGGGGATGACACTGCCATTTCCATGGGTCTGAAGCATTGGCATCCTTGAAGTGGCCACACTTGTGTCAACAACATGTATTCATTCAGGACTTCATCTGATACTTACACATTTACTGGGGACTTCCTCCACTACCCACAGTTTTAGATGGTCTTAGAAGTTCATGTCTGACCCCCTGTCCAGAAAAGAAGCAAAAAGCTCCTGACTATGAGGATACAGTTTTTAGGTTGCAGGAAATATCAGAGAAAGAATGACTGTGAATTTGATACCATAGGTACATTCTGCTCTGAACTCACGCCCTTTTTTTTTTAGAAGGAAGGAACAACAAGTATTTGTTTATGAGACTTCTTTATTGCTTCTAAACCATCATTGGAAATTTTGCTGTAGAAAGTGGAAGTCACTGTCAGGGACCATTGAAAATTTTGCTGTAGAAAATGCAAGTCACTGTCAGGGACCATTGAAAATTTTGCTGTAGAAAGTGGAAGTCACTGTCAGGGACCACTCTGTTGAAGATCCTAAGTAGGCAAGGTCAAGTCCTTTGATCCAGGAGGTGGTGGGAATAAGGCAGTTTCCATTGTTATGTAGCAGTTACTTCAGGAGCTACAAAGTGAATTGCTGTCTCTGAAATGTTTTCCAACATTAGCCAATTCTCTGCTTCTCCAGACATTAGCTGAGTGTTCAGAAACTCTGTTCAATCCTAATACTAAGTATGAGAAGTCAGCACAGAGCCCACAGTTTAGGGGCTCAGCTCTCCAGGACTGACACTACATCTCAGGTGCCATGCCCATACTTTTGACTGACTGACTGTACATTGAGTTTCCATGACCCTCTTCTGAGGTTTGATAATTTGCTCAAGTGAGTCACAGAATTCAGGAAGGCACTGTTTATATTTACAGGTAGATTGCAAAGGCTACAATTCAGAACCAGCAAAAATGGTAGAAATATGTATCAGACAAGATGCTGCTGAAGCTTTGTAACGTCCATGCTTTCTTTGAGTGTGCTCTGTTGGTGCTTCCAGGTGCTCAACACAAAGATTTCAGAATATCCTAATTCAGGAGTTTTTATAGAGTTTCATTCCAGGCCCTCATGCCTCCAGAGAGGTTGGGGATTAGACCCAAAGTTCCATCTCCCCAGTCACTTGCTCGTTATTTTGATCAGGATCATGATGACACTGTGTAAAGGCCCCACCGTAAGTGACATCATTAGAATAACTCAAATGCGAGCAATAGATGCTGCTTTTAACTAACAAAAGATACTCCTGCCACTCTGTAAGTTTGAAAGGTTAGGAACCTTCTCTTTTATAATTCATGTTCTCTTTCCCACCTTGAAGGGGAAGAGAAATATTAATACATGTATACATGTATGTGTGTATATTATATGACATACACATGCATGAAAGAAATGTGAAAGTTGTCAGGGAGTTACTAAGGAGGATTTCCTTTGCATGGTTGCCTGTTAGTGAGTAGCACAAGAGTCTGGGTCTACAAGCTTGTACAAAGGTCACTCCAGCCTTACAAAGAAAGTTCTTCTGTAAGGCCATCTTGCCAGTAACTGTTCAACCTCCAATAAATTCCACCCTTATTTTTAATCCTTAGAACCCACAGTTACTGTTTTCAAAGATTTGATGTGATCATTTTTTTTCTTTAAAAGCTCCCTTACTGGGCTGGAGAGATGGCTCAGAGGTTAAGAATGCTGTCTGCTCTTCCAGAGGTCCTGAGTTCAATTCCTAGAAACCACATGGTGGCTCACAACCATCTATAATGAGATGTGGTGCCCTCTTCTGGCCTGCAGGGATACAGACAGAACACTATATACATAATAAATACAATCTCTAAAAGAAAAACACCCTTGCTAACCAGGCAGTGGTGGCACACACCTTTAATCCCAGCACTCTGGAGGCAGAGGCAGGTGGATCTCTGTGAGTTCAAGGCCAGCCTGGTCTACAGAGCGAGTGCCAGGATAGGTTCCAAAGCTACACAGAGAAACTCTGTCTCGAAAATCAAAAGAAAAGAACAGTTATCACTAAAAGAAAAAATAACAACTATGACTCCCATCCTTTTTTATATAACGTATTTAACTTTATTTTATGTACATTGGTGTGAAGGTATCAGATCCCCTGGAACTGGAGTTACAGACAGTTGTGAGTTGCCATGTGGTTGCTGGGGATTGAACCCAGGTCCTTTGGAAGAGCACTCAGTGCTCTTAACCACTGAGCCATCTCTCCAGCCCCTCTGTGGATAACTCTTGTTTATCACTGATAATACTTCCTAATAGGTAACACTTGTTATAATTTTACTAATTGTCTTAATAGTGCTCCTGTTTTTTTAAAAATTCTGTCTTGATTTAAGAATGTAGTTTAGGATCATATATTTGTGTTACTGTCATTTGCTTTATAGGTGAGCTGTATGTGGGACAGTGACTATGCCACTGCTCCCTGTAGTCTTTCTGCTCTCTTTTCACACTGTGAATCTTAGTATAATGGTGGCTTCGTGTACATGTATAACTTTTCTCTTTAGAGGATTGCTCCCTTTGGAAAGGACTAGAGGCCTGCCCAACTTTGCTCATGTGTGGCACATGTTATTAAGCCTCAAGAATTATAACATACACATTTTTTCTTTTTTTCACATTTTTTCTTATATTGACCCTTATTGAGAAGTATCATGATCAATCCAGAATCTTTTTCTGACCTAACATGTATTTCTCTAATACATATTGATGAAGTTAATTTTACTCTGAGAAGGAACCTTTTTGTATTCTTGCTGTATACTTCAGGATCAAAACGGCATTTCTTAAAATGTTAGGTTCTTTTTGCCAGGTGTGGTGGTGCATGCCTTTAATCCCTGAATTCAGGAGGCAGTAGCAGGTGGATTTCTATGAATTCAAAGTCATCCTGGACTACATGTTGTGTTCTATGTCAGCCAAGGCTACATAGGGAGATCTTGTCTCAAAAAAAATTATGAGTTTCTGGAGAGTTGGCTCCATGATTAAGAGCATTGGCTGTTCTCCAAAGGACCTAATTTACCCAGCACCCACATGGTAGCTCACAGCTGTCAGTAATTTGAAGATCTGACACCCTCACACAGACATACATGCAGGCAAAACATCAGTGTACATAAAATAAAAATAAATAAATAAAAAATAAATAAATGTACTTTTTGAGTAAGCAAACAGTACACTTGGAATATTAGTTAGGATGCATTTGTAATAGCAGATGATGCAGCTGAACCTTGCTTGTACAACTAGAAAGGCCAGTCATAGGATGAACATTTCCTGTTAGTTTGAATCAGAGACCATGAAGCTATCAAAGCTATGGTTTTATAGTGTTGGCTTTGTTTTCAGGTGAGCTTCCCTCCAGGTGGCACACTGCCTTTAGCGTTACAGATTTTCTGTTCATATGGCACACTTAACAAGAGAAGTCAGTTTCTTTCTCAGAGACCTCCAGCAAGTCTTCTGTGTACTTCTTTCAGCCTGACTCGAGGCATGAGGCCTATTCCTGAATCAGTCTCTGTGTTCAGGGATGCACACAATTCATAGGAACTTGGGACTGATGAGTCATTACTGACAAGAGAAAAAGATCTCCCAGAGAAAAATGGAGCTGCTTACATGCTTTGGAGGGATCAAATTAGCCCGACACACTTGAGCTGTGTATGGGATGGGGTAAAGCTTGGGTGAAAACATGGGGTACTCTTATGAAAAGGGAAAGGATGGTAGACAGGCAGCTAATGTGGTGACTCTTCTGTTTTAGGTACATGCAGAGCTTCCTTGAACTTTTAGAATATGAAAACAAGAGCCCAGAAGACCCACGGGTTTTAGATAAGTAAGTATGGTGCAGTTTACCTGAAAGTAAAACTATCTAGGCAAAAGAATATTTCAATTAATGGAACTCGTGCTTTGGGACACAAGAATTGTAATTCAGGGCTGGGGAGATGGCTCACTTGTTAGTACCTAACATACCTGCACAAGTGAGAGGCCCTGTTTTGACAAATAAGGTAGACAACTGACCTAACCTGCCCCTCAACATGTATGTGCATGAGAATTTGTGTACTCACATTCTAGCATGCATACACCCACACATACTACACATACATCCGAGAACACAGAAAACTAGAATTCACACAAACGTTTTAATTTTGTTGTGGGTGATGACATTATTGGATTTGTTTCATTAATATGGCACAGTATACAAAGAATAATAAAACTTTAGTTAATACTTTATGACATAATTCTATGACATAATTCTTAATATATTTAGTCAGGGTGAAGTGGACACCAGCTTAATAGAAGCATTGTAGTGAATGTTCCATCTAGTGGTAGTTTTAAGAATGCAATAGCGTCCTTATATCCATGAAGTATACATGAATTATCTACCTAATCCATTGATTTAAAACATACTTCATAATGGGGTACTAAGAGTACGTCTCAGGAAACTGTAGTGATTTTGTTTTGGAGAAGCATAAAAGTAAGTGAATGTGTGTGTGTGTGTGTGTGTGTGTGTGTGTGTGTGTGTGTATTTATACAAAACCTAAATTCTGTTGATGTCACTATGCACAAAGACTACTGAATTCTCATGTTACTGGAAAGTATTTCTGTTTTCCAGCAAACCATAGCTGTGAGTAGGGGTTTTCCCTCAAGAGAAATTAAGTATCTCCACCATAATTTCTTCCTGTTTTGGGTATATACAGTGAATGCTCATGGTAATCTGTTGTGCTGAGAACTTTCTTTTATTGTAAGTATAGACTTAATCCATATAATTGTAAGACAGACACTTGACTTGGACTGTTCCATGAAAAGAACTAGGGAAACGCTATACTACACAAACAACCTTGGAACATTTTTTTCCACCAGGTCTCGAATTCACAAACAAGGAAATATGGAGTTCAGAAGTTTAGAAGCATGTTCTCCAGGATGTGACACTGCATAGGAGAGCACCTATAAGTTGTGGTTCCTTTTCCTTAGTATACTGGTTCTTCCATTGTACCGCAATGCCAAAACAGCTAGTTCTAGCCAGGAGAAGGTTTAGTTGTATTTTCTGTGATGGATCTGTGAAATATGAAAAGTTCAATGTTAGTAAAGGAAGAAGTGAAAGGTGAGATAGTGTCCTGGTAACAGCCCTTTCTGTTCAGAGAGAAGTTACATGGGCCCACTACCTGGGGGGGTCATCTATGTAAATCACATTGATCATCATGAAGGAGATAGAAAAGCCCGGGAGGATAGGGAGGTATTCTGAGAATTAATCCATTAAAGTAAGCCTCTTCCCTTCAAGTAAAGATGTTTCTGCACTATAATGAATTGTTTTATTTTAATTTATAAATAGATACATTGGAAAGAGGTATATTAAGAAAAATTATCCATTGTAATATTTCTTGTGAATAATTGTGAACTTGGGCTTTTTGTTTTGTTTTGTTTTTGAGACAGGGCCTCACTGTGTGGTTCAGGCTGGTTTTGCACTCAGAGATCTGCCTTTCTATGCCTCCTGAGTGCTAGGACTAAAGATGTTAGCTACATCATTTCTTCTACCCTTCTACCCTAAGCATTCATATTGCATGAGTGTGAAGTCTATTGTTTTTGTTTGTTTAGTTCTTTTTTTTTTTGGTTTTTCAAGACAGAGTTTCTCTGTGGCTTTTGAGTCTGTCCTGGAACTAGCTCTTGTAGACCAGGCTGGTCTCGAATTCACCCAGATCCGTCTGTCTCTGCCTCTGCCTCTGGAGTGCTGGGATTAAAGGCATGCACCACCGCCGGCTTAGTTTGTTTGTTTGTTTGTTTTTGAGATGGAATTTCTCTGTGTAGCCCTAGCTGTCCTGGAACTCATTCTGTAGACCAGGCTGGCCTTAAACTCACAGAGATCCACCTGCTTCTGCCTCCAGAGTGCTGGTATAAAAACATGTGCCACTACTACACAACAATTTTTACAAAAATAAGTGTCTACAATAGTTCTTGGCCATTATTAATAGTTTCACAATACAGTCATATATCACTTAATGACAGATACCTTTAGAGAAATGCTTCATGAGGAAAATTTGTTTGTGTGAACACTATGGAGTATACTTATACTAACTTAAGAGGACTGTAGCCTTACCAGGGGGCATAATCTTTGGAGGACACTGTTGTGAACAGAGTCTGTTGTTGAAATGTTATGTAGCACGTAGCCAGCACTTACTTATGCACACACACACACACACACACACACACACACACACACACACGCTTTTTGAGACAATTTTTCTTTGTAGCCTTGACTGTCCAGGCACTCACTCTGTAGACCAGGCTGGCCTTGAATTGACAGAGATCTGCCTGCCTCTTCCTCCTGAGTCCTGGGATTAAAGACATATGCCACCACTGCCTGGCATATATTATTAATTCTTCTACAGATAGGTTATGCAATTTTCTCCACTAGTGTTGAATTTTAGACTCATTTGTAGTTTTTAAAAATACTTATTCATATGTATATATGTATGTATGTGTATATGGTACATGTGTATAGGTATTTGTCATGTTGTGTGTGTGTAGATCAGAGGATAGCCTTGGGTGTTGGTCTTTGCCTTCCCTTTCCATGGGTTCCAGGGATCCAAACTCAAGTCACCAGGCTTATACAGCAAGGGCATATATCCACTGAGCTATCTTGCTGGCTCAAACAGTGCTCTAAAAATAGATTTTTTCTTTCTCTCATGTCTCCACCCCCTTGTTCTTTATGTATGGTGTATGCATGTATGTATTTGAAAGCAGTTTTTAAAAACAGCTGTTCACCTTGTTCAGTTGCTTCTGCAGCATTGATCCTAGAAGTGGAATTACCTTCTTTGGACTTAGATATATTTGGTTAAGTTGCCCTTAGCAAATGTTCTATTTAGCGCCCACATACAACCTCCACTGGTTATTATTTGTCATCCAAATAAAAAAAGAACAGTTTCACATTGTTTTAGGTTACCTCGCTTTTTTGCTACTAAATTGATTGACATTTGTGCTTGCTTTTTCATAGATTTCCCCACGAATATTAGATCCTTTTCTTAGTTTCTCAATAGGATGTTCATCTCCACTAAGTATAAGGACTCTTTTAGCTTCTTTTATTCCTATGTGTGCTTCGGAAATTCTGCAGTCATCTTTGTTTCTTTGTGTTGTGCTTCTGCCCTTGCTAATAAGCTTAGAATAACCTTCTTTATTTCCAAGTTGCGTATTTAATTCAGCTGATCTTCTTTTATTGTTTCTGTGATTTCACTATCATTTTCATTTTTAAAAGAAATTATTGTGTGTGTGGTTTATGTGTATACATGTGTACGTATATGTGTGCATTTTCATGTGGAGGTCAGGGGTTGGCATCAAGAGTCTTCCTTGATTGCTCTCACCTAATTTTTTCAGACAGGCTCCCTCACTCAACAGGGGACTTGATGTTTGGACTAGACTGGCTGGCCAGCGATCCCCCAGGACCTCCACTCCTCTGGCTCTGGCTTACTGAGATGCACTGCTACACCTGTCTTTATGAGGGTGTAGACCCTCATCACTTTACCCTTAAGCCATCTCCCCAGTCTCACTCTAACGTTTTTCATTTAATTGGGGCTTAAGGCTTGAAAGTGCTATATGATTGGACCTGTGGTCTAATCAGTTTAATCATTTCCTTACTAACTTGCATTGCTGCATTCTTTTTAAAATTCATTCTTACTCCATGTGCATTGGTGTTTTTTCCTGTATGTGAGTCTGTGTGGAACTAGAGCCACAGACAGTTGTGAGCTGCCATGTGGGTGCTGGGAAATTGAGTTTGGGTCCTCTGGAAGAGCCATCAGTTCTCTTACCTGCTGAGCCATCTCTCCAGACCCCACATTGCTATATTCTTAATATGCTAAATTTTGGTAGACAGCTGCTTAACCTCTGAGCCTGGATCCATAATTTTATTTGGTTTCATTGCTTGACTTAATTTTCCTGTTTTTTTTTTCTTTTTGTATTTCAAGACAGGATTTCTCTGTATTGCTTTGGAGGCTGTCCTGGTACTCACTCTGTAGACCAGGCTGGTGTCGAACTCACAGAGATCACCTGCCTCTGCCTCCTGAGTGCTGGGATTAAAGGCATGTGCCACCAATGCCTGGCTTATTTTCCTGTTCTTAAAGTCACTGTATTGCACATTTTTCTATGCATGTTTTTACATTTTTTAATTTTATGTGTATTGGTGTTTTGTCTACAAAATGTGTACCACATGTGTGACTGGCATCCAGGGAATCCAGAAGAGGGTGTCAGCTGCCCTGCGACTGGACTTGAAAAGGGTTGTGAGCCACCGTGTGTGTCTTAGTTAACGTTCTGTTGGTGTGAAGAAACACTCCGATTGCAGCAACTTTTTTTTTTTGGTTTTTACGAGACAGGGTTTCTCTGTATTGTTTCAGAGGCTATCGGTCCAGCCTGGCCTCGAACTCACAGAGATCCGCCTGCCTCTGCCTCCCAAGTGCTGGGATTAAAGGTGTGCGCCACCACCGCCCGGCACAGCAACTCTTATAAAGGAAAAGATGTAATTGAGATTTGCTTAGAGTTTCAGAGGTTTAGTCCATGATTGTCATGGGAGGAAGTATGGCAGTGTGCCAGCAGACATGGTGCTGGAGACGGAACTGAGAGTTCTACATCTGATCAGCAGGCAGCAGGAAGAGAGAGACACTAGGCCTGATTTGAACATCTGAAACCCCAAAGCCTATGTCCAGTGACACGCTTCCTCCAACAAGGCCACGCCTTCTAATAGCGCTATTCCCTAAGCATTCAAACATGAGTCTTTGCATGGCATTTTTATTCAAGCCACCACAATGTGCAAACTGGTTCCTCTGGAAGATCAGCCAGTGTGCTCTTGACCACTGGGCCATCTCTTCAGCCCTTCACTATACATCTTTTCAATAATGTGCCAGAATACTTGAAAATGATTTGTGTGTTTTGTTTCAAGATGAGTGTCTTCTGTGTATTGTCCAGGCTAGTTTTAAACCCCTTGGCTCAAGTACCCTCTTGCTTCTGCCTCCTGAGTATTCAGAACTGTGGGTATGTGCCACTACTCCCAGCAAGTAAGTTTATTTTCATTGAGATTTTTTCATTTTCTTTCTTTCTTTTTGTTTTTCTGAGACAGGGTTTCTCTATGTAGCCCTAGCTGTTCTGGCACTCGCTCTTGTAGACCAGGCTGGCCAGGAACTCACAGAGATCCGCCTGCCTCTGCCTCCCGAGTGTTGGGACTAAAGATATATACCACCACTGCCCGGATGTTTTCAATGAGGTTTTTTAATATATATATTTCATCATGTTTTACTGCTGGAAGTAGATTATTTCAAATTTTTGCTTATAAAAACTTTGGCATTCAGTATTCAGAGAAGAAGCTCTTGCTTTAGGACCCCATTTGTAAGTCCTTAGAGACTCTGGCAGGACTGTCCTTGGGTCGTCAGGAGAAACATTGATATGTTCTGTAATTCTTTGGTCAAAAAAAGTTATAGAACTCCAAAATGTAAGTGCATTTCTAAAAATTTATTTGAACTTTTTTTATTTTTCAATATAGGGTTTCTCTGTGTAATAGTCCTGGCTGCCCTGGAACTAGCTCTGTAGACCAGGCTGGAACTCACAGAGATCCACCTGCCTCTGCCTCCCAAGTGCTGGGGTTAAAGGCATGCACTACCACCGCCTGGCTTTGACTTTACTAGAACTTTTTACTATTTTGTGTATCTCTGAAAGAATTTTTGGTAGTAAGTTTCAAACCAAAGCTTGGGTTAGGTTTTAATGTTTATGACTACTTCCTTTTGCTACCTAGTAAAACTAATGCTTATAGTTATAAAGAGTGTCAGTAGACAGGAAAGAGATCAGCCCCTCCAAGACCCCAACCCAGCGAGCCCAGCTTCAGGTGAGATTGGGTCTCCAGCGGGGGACCGCCTGCCCATCACCCATCCCCCTCCATCTTTGGGGCCGCTCCTGGCTTCCAGAAGAGCTGCCCACACAGGAAAGAGATCAGCCCCTCCAAGACCCCAACCCAACGAGCCCAGCTTCAGGTGAGATTGGGTCTCCAGCGGGGACTGCCCGCCCATCACCCATCCCCTCCCTCCATCTTCGGGGCCGCTCCCGGCTCCCAGAAGAGCCACCCACATAGGAAGGAGATCAACCCCTCCAAGACCCCAACCCAGCGAGCCCAGCTTCAGGTGAGATTGGGTCTCCAGCGGGGACCGCCCGCCCATCACCCTTCCCCCTCCATCTTCGGGGCCGCTCCCGGCTTCCAGAAGAGCCGCCCACACAGGAAAGAGATCAGCCCCTCCAAGACCCCAACCCAGCGAGCCCAGCTTCAGGTGAGATTGGGTCTCCAGCGGGGGACCGCCCGCCCATCACCCATCCCCCTCCATCTTCGGGGCCGCTCCCGGCTTCCAGAAGAGCCGCCCACACAGGAAAGAGATCAGCCCCTCCAAGACCCCAACCCAGCGAGCCCAGCTTCAGGTGAGATTGGGTCTCCAGCGGGGACCGCCCGCCCATCACCCATCCCCCTCCATCTTCGGGGCCGCTCCCGGCTTCCAGAAGAGCCGCCCACACAGGAAAGAGATCAGCCCCTCCAAGACCCCAACCCAGCGAGCCCAGCTTCAGGAAAGACATCAACCCCTCCAAGACCCAACCCCAGGGAGTCCAGCTTCAGGAAAGAGATCAGCCCC